CGTTCAAATTCATTTTTAACAAAATTGAAAAAAGTGAAGGGGGTCTGAATACTTTCTGAATGCACTGTATTTGCCTACAATTCTATCATTGACTTAAGCGTGGAATTTTAACATTTCTATTTGTCTGCTTGTCATTGTAATAGAACTGGGCCAAAAAAGCCTTTGCAGTGGAGCTCTAGTTGAATGAAAAGTGTTCAAGAAATCATGAACCTGATCTTTTTTCCATTTCCAAAAGTTATTTTTATGTTATAAATAACATCTGTGTCAGTTTCGGGTCCCTACTGCTGTACTTTCCTTTTCATTGCATGGAAAAATTCAAGTGAATTTTTCCATGCAGACAGAGCTAGCCCTGGCATGCTCAAATGCAGAAATAGAATAAACTGATTTATTCTGAGAGAGTCATTCACAGCTCATTTCTTTTTACATATTATGTAGCATATACTTTCTTACATTTTTGGAACAGTCATAAGAAATGCAGTTCCTGACATGTAGTTGTTGAAACTGAAACATTAAAATGGCTTTTTGAAATATATACATTTTGTGTTTCTATTTTAATAACAAATTTGTTGCTTCAAATTTTAGTAATGACATCCATATTACAGCAATTATTCAAATATAGGCCTAGGTGGTTAACTTATTTTAAGTTACTTAGGGGGCAATCAAGGATTTTTGTACTAGGAGTAGAATTTATTCCCTTCCAGCACAGCACAGAGAACTAGAGTGGTGTAATGGTTAAGGTACTGTGCTAGGAACATGGTGATCCAGGATCTAGTATTCCCTTAGACATAGAAGCCAGCTGGATGACCTTTAACCAGTCACTCCCTTTCAGCCCAAATTGGGGACACGCTCTGTGACAAGCCAGCTGATAAGCAAAACCCTTGTTGCATCATGCATTGATAACTTTGCTGGGAGGTCCTGGTGTGCATAGTACAAAACAGGCAGATCCTGCAACCAGATGGGACAAACATGAAGAACAACTACTTTCCAGCACAGCACATAGCATCCAGGACAGCTGTGAAAATCCACTTTTACACCACACAGAAATCCACCCATTAAGGCTGCGCAAAGCATTTGAAAGAAGTGCTTTGCATAGCACTTTAGCATTAATGAAGGACCTCTTTTCAAAGCATTAAAGCAACCAAGTTCTTTTTTGTTGGAAAGACTTGCTTTGAAGGGTGTTCCTGGCTCTGAGTGTATAAAGTTACACTTTGCTGGCACGCATATTTTAACAATTTTTTTTCCCACAGTAAATTAGGCCATCAGAGGGAAAATTTAATGTCCTAGCGGGGGTCATGGTTTAGTGTATGCAGGTATTTGTTTGAGATGTTAAAGGATTGAAACAAATTATCACATTTAAAAAGATACTGCTTCCTGAATCTTTCAAGCATTGGAATTGGAATTCATTACATAGTGCCTTCCTTTGCTATGACTATATAAGAGGAAGTCTATGGGTAGCAAAACTGGGACTTCCTGAAGTGAAAGGACAAGGGCAGTAGAGGATATATTCCAAGAACCTCAGACGGAAAACAACCAGCCAGCTAGACACAAAGAAAATACTTGACGCTATTAAGAAATTGTTTTGCCAAGGGAAAGCGGGGAGATATCAAAGAAGTAAGCCATGAATAAAAAAATGTGGAAGGGTGGAAAAAGGCAGCAGAGGCCAAATGATGGCATTATAGCATCTGGGATAATTTGCCATAATGCCTACACAATCCCATGGAATTTTTTGACTTTAGCAAAGAGATCAGAACCAACTACCTGTGGCCCAGGTGGCTTTGGAGTCACGTTTTTGTGGTCTTCAGAAACCTCTTTGACCATGGCTGCTATGGTCTTCAGAAACCTCTTTGACCATGGCTGCTGAAGACTAATAGCGTAATTTCCCACAGTTTTGAGATGAAGCAACAGATGAAAAGTCTAATCTATGCCCTATAATAGACATACCACAAGTCTCCCCCCCCAAACTCTCCACAACTAACTGAATGTGCACACATATATGATGTACCCTTTCCCCTTTTTGTGGCTGTGGGGAGGCCATGTTAAGTGCTGTCCATGTCTACCAAGAGATTGTTCCATCCCTGGGATATACAGATGAAGAGGATATCCATGTAGGAAATTCTTGAATCAGCAGGCACTGACCTGTTTGAAAGAAAGCCCATACACGTCTCTCTAAATTGTGCTTGCTTCTATTTGTGGCTAATGGCATCACACATAATGGAATTTAATCCCAGTTAAGTGAATGATCATAGAGAGGACACAGGCAAAAAAAAAAAAAAAAAGTTTTTGCAATCAGGGATTTAAAATGATTTTGAATTTTTAAATTTACCAGTAATTTGAACCATACTCAGAAAATTATCATTTAGTATTATACAGTATCTTTACAGGTTACCATGTAACTTGCTTCTTCAACAGTGGCTTTGTTCTTAAGATGGAATTCAGTTAATCAGTGTCATTCATTTTCAGTTCAAACATGGACTATGTATTCTAATTCTGCAGTAGCCAGCTTCAGTAAGTCTACAATGCTTTGTTAGTGAGAGGTAGAGAACCATACAATATCCTACCACATATGGAAATACTTATTAATTCTTATATTAATATAAGCCTCACAAATGCTTAATTATTTGTAGACCAGCAACACTTTTATTCTTTACTTGATACAAGGCAATTAACAGATGCCTATTAATATTTCACAAATAGTTATTAGCAATACAAATATATATATTTGTTTTTCCATGAAAATGTTCATTGAAAGATTTTTAACTTAAAAGATTGTTTTTGTGTATATGTGAAACTGCTCTATTATTTTGCAAAGTTTATAAGATATTCCAGTGCAAAAATAGATCCCATTACAGCCAGCATAAAGTGCTTGGAATGAAGGATCAAACAAATTAGAGGGAGCGGGGTTTGGAACAGAACTGGGAGAAAAAGCAGTAATACGGGCTTACCATACGTATTAACTTCTGTAAAAAATATATTCATGGGAAACTGCCTTTACAGTATTACAAATACTGCAGAAGGATACAGCAATTTTATCACATACATGTAGTAAATATTCCCAGCTCAGTTCTTTGACCAGTGGTTTTATATTATACCATAGATAGCAATGAGGATAATTTTGGCTAACCCATATTTGATACAAAGGAAAACTTGTATACAGTGATTTACTAGTATTTTGTGTGGAACAAACCCAGCCTGGATCTCCATTCTTAGCAAGAAGCACTTCTAGAAACCATTGTTTCTACTGAAACAGATAAGTAAAGATTTAAATGCTCCCCATTGAAAACAATGGGATGTACAATGCATTGAAGTCCCACTGTGATCAGCAGAGGTAACTGCCAGGTAACCATGCACAGGATTTCAGCCTTACATTGCAAACTTACACAGCAGTCATTTAACTCTGGGTGAATTATTTTGAGTTACTATTGTGAAGAGGGATTGTATGGTTAACACTTACCTCTCTTTGAATTGTGTTAGTTTAATTTGCCAATCCATTTTAAAACTATACTAAAACAGAGCACTTATATTTGTAGAAAAGATTAGCTGCTTGCTTTCTTTTAAACTTAAGCAAAAAACATGGGCTTTTGTATACAGTAAAATCAATTTTTAGTGCTCTTTATATCAACATGAATAACCAACAATTTTATATATATGAGCTAAATTGCAGGTCATTGACAGTGGGGTGCAAAAAAGAGTGTGCAGGATTCAGACTGATGTCCTGCTGACTTCAAAAGAACTTATTGCAACTAATTTCAGAATTTTACTTGACCTGGGGACATGTCTCTAATACTAGTGCCAGCACTGATGAACACAAGTGTTGGTTTCTCTCTGCTAAAAGTTATCCAATATTATGAAAAGATATTTGTAGCCATTTTGTTTCTCCTGTCAGTTAGCTTTTTATTTAAAGATACCATCTGGACTGACTGAAAAAAGTTTCCATATAATTTTCCAAATAAACACTTGAAAAATGGGCCATTTTTTTAAAAAATCCTATATATTAGTTGCCTGGGGCCATCATCCTCATATTCAACTTCTAATGCCTACCGTCAATCCTTACCTGGAGTAGGAGATCAGCATATGTGCCACATAATAGCCAAGGAGTAAGAGAAATGAAAGGACTATGGAAACTCAGGACATTAGAAGAGCCACAGCTGTTTTTCTGGAGGGCTTTCTCCAACTTCAACTAGACCCTGAAACAGCATCTCTGCTGTGCAGAGTAGGAGGTCACCATCACATGATTTAACGTAGTATATGGAAACAGGATAGTGGTGATAGCGAAACTGAAAAATTTCAGAATTGATGGAAATGATGCTATGTGCATTTAGATATTTTGTGTAAGGCAAGGAAACAGATACCCTAGTATATGTGATAATAAAAGATGCAGAACTCTTCAGAGATTGCTGAGTCTTTTCTACAGATAGTAATTTTGCAAGGAAATAGATACATCAACAATCAGGCTTAAGTAAAGAAACCTAAAAACAGCAATAGCTCCACAACAAAAGCAAAGGGGAAGAATAAGCAATTGGTCACCATACCATTAGGACAGAGGTTGCCTCAAATGCTTTGATGGTTAACAGTTAATTCTACAAGCCATTAAGAAACATTGAATTCAAAGTATGCCTATTCTGAGGGGGTGCTTCATGGCCCATTGTTAAGACCCCCAATGGTCATTATACAAGTCCCCTCAAGCTTGTGTGGGTCAACTAGGCCAGTAGCTAATACTTAAATAAGGCCATAGTAACACATTGGGTGGTGACTGCTGGACACTGGTTCTGTCGATGCACTCATTGCCAGCAATGATGTAGTGTCCAAGCAGTTCCTTTCGCTGTGTGGAAGGGCTGCGTCTGCCTTAGCATGGTGAATAAATAAATCACTGGCCATGAATCTCTGAATTTTTGTTATGTAATTCTTAACATAAAACATACTAAGTAGAAACAAGTGGGAGTATGGCAGAAGACAACGTAGCAGCAAGTGGCACCGTATTAGTTTCACAGAGTTATAATGTAAGAATAACTAAATTCAAGTCTTTCACTAGAGAACAGTACAACAAGGCAACATCTCCAAGAGGCACCGCCTCTGTAATGGAATATTGTTTTGTTTGCATTGAATTGCATTGCATTGAATGATTACCAGTGGAACGTCCCATTTATTATTTCCACCTCCACCTCCTCGGTCTCGGTCTGTTTCCGCTTGGGAAGATCCCATCCATAGCGCAGAAAGGATGAATATTTCCCCTTCTGCTCAGTGCGACCATTGCATCCTTTTGAGAAGGGTTATTCATACACAGCTTTCCTTCACCTTCTCATCTTGCAAAAAGGAAGTCAAAACAGCAACGTCTACCACAGTCTGGTTTTTGTGCAATGACAAGTCTTTCGTGTGGTCATCGTCACTTTGGTCCTTGGCGAAGTTTACAAATACCTGACAGAACAAAAATGTGGGAGACAATCATGAGTTTATCCCAGGGAGATGTCTCTTCCTCTTTTTCTCCTATTGTAACTGGAGGAATGTCAGTCAACAGAGTAAGAACCAAGGCATTAATTGCAAAATGAAAGTTAATAAACTACAGCTCAAGATGACGATCAATGAGTGAGAGCCTATTTTGAGGGGCTTTTCTTTTTTTTTGGCCAGACTTCATGCTATCAACTTACTTGGTCAAGTGTGGTCTGGGAAACGGAGTAGTCTTCTATGCAGAGTCTCTTTTTGTTCTGGGAGAGGATGCTAAATATCCTGGCCAGAGAAGACGGAGAAGACGGGAGCTGATACTGCAGCATGTTGCGATGCTGCTCCTTCAGCACGCTGCCTGGAAAAGCGAGCTTGAAGAAGTCTTGGACGGGGGCCAGGTCAGGGTTCGCCCCTCCTATCCGTACAACTATTGTGTAGCCATCCCCAAACCTGAAACGTAAGGAAAGTAAGAACATTCAGTGTGCTTATCTTAAGTTTAAAAAGTACACCAGAGCTGTAATGTGTTCTGGCTTTGTCACAGGCCATTTGGAATGAAACACTGCATTTGTGATCCTGGAAAACCACACCTTTGATTTCAAAGTGGGCCACATTTATAATCCTTGTGGTTAATGGAAAAAGCCTAAAAATGCTCTTTGGTTAATGATAGATCAAATTAGGATGACCGTTTTTCTTTGGTGAGGATCCAGTCAATGATTAGAACTTCATCCTATTTCCAAGCATAAATTAATTATTTTGGCATGAATGCCAAAGAGTCTGAGCAGCTTACAATTAAACATAAAAAGAATAAGTAACATAAACAACGAGACCCTGATGTGTCTCCATTTGGACAGGTTAGGAAGACGATATGTCTGTGATTTCCAAATAATTTCACTTTTCAGGACAAGTTTATTTCATTTTCATTGATTTATGAATGACTTAGAAAACATTAAGCTTACAGGTCTATGTCCTAAGTGTTTTACAGGAAGTTCTGTGTCAGGAATGAGTCATTATTTCTTTTACAGTCATCACATTAATAAACAAAAATGGACAGCAATGCAAGTATCTGTATATCTCATCAGCTAACATCTGATTAGATTTACTAGGCATGTGCTAAAGTAATGTAATCTCAAATGTTCTTGTTCAATGGGGGTTAAATGATGGGATAGTAAAGTTACCTTGCCTAACTTTTTGAGATTGTTTCAATTCTGTTATACTACCACTAGGAGGATAGGAAAAGATACAATATTAAATGTGTCCTTTTTTCTCATTACTTTCCTTAAGTGATATGCTATTTAACACTTCGGTATCTAAATCATTACTAATTTATAGTTTTTAGGACTGTGGAAATGCTTTGAAAGAGGTGGTTCACAGCTGGGATAAAAGCAAAGCGAAATGCACAGGTGGTATATAGTTGGGAGGGATAGCTGGGAGGAGTTTATAAAGCAGCTGCATGCACCTGGAAAGTGAGGCAGCTGTTTCAATGATCTGGAAAGAGGAGAAGCACCTGTTTCAAAGCATTTCCACAGTCTTCATAGCTTTTGTATTATGCAAATATAAGTAAATTTAACCAATAAATTAATGAATTGGAAAACCAGGCAGTTGCCTAAAAAGAACTATTTTCTGTGACTACAAGAACTAGGACCAGAATTAATGGGTGTAAGTTGCAGCTGTCTAGATTTTGTTTGAATATAGGGAAAACTTTCTGATAGTAAGAGCTATATGTACAACAACAGAACAATCTGTCTACGGATGGTGTGAGTTCTCCATATCCAAAGGCTTTTAAGAAGAGTCTGGACAGCCCCGCTCACAAATGCTTTCAGTGGTTTTTCTGCACATTGCAGAGGACTAGATAATTCTCATGGTCCTTCTGACTCTGTAATCCTATGAAATAAATCTATCGCTGACTGCGTGCAGATTTTTTTTTGAAGTCATTTATAAAAACATTTTCATGAGCTACGCAGATTTCAAGACAGAAGTGCATGTCTATGCATAAAGACAGGAAAGACAAAACAGTTGTACCTGTTCTTCAGGTGCTGGACGCTACCAAGGCACCTGAACCGCCCATTCACCATGATTGCCATTCGAGTGCAGAGGGCCTCACATTCTTCCATGCTATTTGGGCAAGAAGGCCAGATTCATTACTCTCATGAAATATTCAGTGTTTTTTAAAAGAACGTATTATTAAAGCACTTACAGGAAAAGAATAATTACATAAAAGGAGAAAAAGAAGGTATAAAGAGACATAGTCAATAATGAATAAAATATCAGTGAATAGTTTACAATTATAACATTTAAAATTTGTTATTTCATTCATTCATTAAATGTATAGAACTAAGTTCATTATGTCATCTTAAGAAATAACTAGAAATCTCTATAAAACTCTAAACATAATACGAACATTGATATTGTTATTATTTGTCATTGTTCTAAACACAGATGCTGTAATCATGTAAAGGGGAAAAAAGGATAAAGGAAAAAAAATAGAAGAAAAAACAATTAAGAAAGAGAAAAATCAGTAAAAACAATATTGTTAAACAACATAGTTTAAAATTCCCTCCCATTGTACCCAACTGATGATTGCATCAACCTATTTATACTCACTGGAATTACTTCTAATTAATTATTTCCCCTTTAAAAACCATACATATACAGTGGTTTCTGGAAATCCCATCTGTTTTACTTCCTCAACAACAGGAAGATTTGGATATGCAGGTTTTGGAATCTTTAAGATACTGAAGTGTCTTGCTGGAAGTGAGAGAACCAGCCCTTTCTAATTGTTAGCCATTCTAGCAGGGACCCGTTTCCTATGGATTTAAGCTTTCTTGTGGGTAAGAACCTTTTGCTTTTTTTTCCCCTTCCAGATGCTGCCCTCGGCCACAAAAAAGCTTAGATCCATAGGAAGCATAGTGCATACGTAGTAACAAGACGGGGTTGGGGCTGGATATGCTGCCTTCTTCTGGTCTAAGCAAGCCTTGCTACCTAAGATAAAACTGCTTCAGAAAATGCTTCTTCTGCTTTATTACTAAGTGATTTTATTTATATATATATATATATAGGTGTGTGAGTGTGTGTGTGTATAAATATATAAATAAAAGACAAGATTGTTAGCCAATTCTCCTGTGCTTTGTTTTATCTTTACTCGGGTAGATGGATATGCGCATGTGCTCCTAAACCTCTGTATATTTTCCTCCTGGCAAGATTCACACCAAGAGCATTTGGTTACGTTGCTATCATATGTAGCAATTAAAGGGAGAAAAAAAGGGCACAAAGTAGAAAATCACGCAAAAGAGTTTTGTATGCTGTACTACATACCTGTGAGATGTAAGGACCACAGACCTTCCCTCTTTGATGATGCTCAAGGCACAGTTCCAAAGGAAGCGGCGGGCCTTGGGGTCCATTCCCGTAGTTGGCTCATCCTTCAATTTACCCAGAATAAATGCATTGGTTTCACCATTACTGCCATAGTAGAGTGCTTATTAACATCACAGGCTTAACCACAGATGACAAGGGCTTAATATTGAATCATACTGTACCTTTCCCAGAATAAAGTGCTAAATGAAATTAGTGGAAATCTGGACTTTTACTAAATCTGAGTGCAACTGGCACTTAGGGATTTTTCCCATTTAAAAAAAAAACACTCTGCAAATAGCGTGGTGGGGGAAAAAGGTTTTTAGAAGCTGCCTCCTGCCAACCTGTAGGAGGAGATCTTACAGTCCACAAAGCATTGCTTAATGACAACTGCCAATAGGAACAGCCCTTATGACCCACGGTGAGGGACAAGAGTTGTTTGGCAACATCTGGAGGGCCATTGGTTCTAGAAGTAGAATCTTCAAAAATGCAACTTTCTCTATCTGCTATCTCAATATAGATTAGGAGATACCATATCAAACTTAAGCAGCTGATCTGGGGTGTTTTGGAAAGTCCACTAAATGGTTAGTGAATTGAATTCATTCCTACTGCATGTTTATTTTTAAAATGTAGGAGAGGCTTTTTTTTTGTTTTTAATGTCAAGTGCCAAGATAACTCCCTATCTAAGAGACTGGGAGTGCCATTCAGGCTCTGCTTCTGACAGCAAAGTAGCTTTAGTTGACGCTCTTCAACTAGTTTTAATGAGTTAGGTGTTGCTATTGTGATCATGCCAATACTTACCAAGAAGACCACAGGAGGTCCCCCAATTAGGGCCATTGCAGTAGACAGCTTGCGCTTGTTCCCACCACTGTAAGTGCCAGCGTATTTTTCAGCATATTTCACAAGGCCTAGTTTACGGACAGCCCACTCACCAACCTGCCAGATGGGAAAGCAATATGAAGACTGAAATACAATCTCCGCAAAGTAGCATGTTCCATTAGGACTGTGGATACTTCAATTCTTGTTCATTTTATTAATCTGCTATTTATTATGTGCAATACTTCAATCCCAAGGCAAAAACGTCGTTTGGAACATTTGAGGTTGCTCATATAGCATCTGCCTGTGACTCTTTAAAGTAGCTGCATCTTTCCCACAATCCCATGGTGGCCCTCTATAGCTGTTCTGTGATTCCGGGAAAAGAACCATCTGGTTGAAGGGGTTGTAGACAGTGCAATGCACATGTCCCCATGTGGTTCAAATCACCTTTTTGCCTTTGAATCTGCATAGATCTGTTATATATCCCAAGGCATCTTAGTATGGCACATGCCCACAAATGGGTAATACTGAAGAACCTTTGGACTTTCTGAGGATTGATGGTGGATTGTGGATATGTTTAAGTTAAAAATGGTTCCAGCCAATTAGATTCAATGTCCCTTTCTTGAGAATGGAAGATGCAAGAAGCAATCTAAAATGGATCCCTTATCTTTATATAAAACAATATGACAACTAAAAAACAGGACTGTCAGACAATCAGAGAAGTTCCCCTGCAGAAGTATGCTTGAAAACATACCTCTTGGCTCACAGACCAGATTGTAAAACACCCCACATTTAGGAAGGAAGTTAGCTTACATAGGCTTGGAAATAATGTGGGGTAGGGGTGGGGAAGAGATGAATCTGATATAGCCAAGTCTTTTTAAAAGTCTTTATACTTTTTTTGCTTTTGGCTTATAATTTTGTATTATTTTTGAAAGCTACCTTAAGCACATATGGTGAAACAAGATAAAAACATGTATGTGATGTCTCTTTTAGGAGACAAGAAGTATATGCTTGTTTCTGTACACGCCATTTAATTACCAGCTGTGGAGAATTTGTGGTTGTAATTAAGTTGGGTGGTTCTCCTGCCTGTTTCATTTTACCTTGCAGACTTCTTTCTCAGGAACTCCCCTTAAGAGTGCAAAGAATTCCAGGTGCTCTCTCCCAGTCAGCAGCTCCTGAATTGCATCAAACTGAGGGCAATAGCCCATGTTCTGATGGACTTCTTGGATGTTAGACAAAATACTGTGAAGAGAGGAGACAGCTTCTTAAAGACTTGCCAGTCTAGCTCAGACATTCTTAGACATGAATATCTAAGGCAGAAGTAGAACTACATGCAATCCTAGGTTATAATTGTGAATGGATGAATAGATAAAGCTATAGGTAGCCCTCATTTAGTGACTATCTGCAGTGACAACAGTGATGAAATAGTAATTTTGCAACCAATCTTTGCATTTATGACCTTCACAGGTCTGTAAAGCAATGGAAAGCTGAAGTAAGATCGTAAGCACAGAGTTTCATTTTCTTCATACCTGTTTCCCTTCAGAAAAGCATCTCCTCCTGTAACATCAGTGTCTCCAGTCAACATCTTGAAAGTGGAGGATTTGCCTGCACCATTCACACCGAGGAGACCAAAGCACTGTAACCATTAAGAGTGACAACATCAGCACAATATGTCCCATCTTTCCCTACAGATTTCTTACACAGTTCCTTACAGTAATACTGGGATCTGGGACCCATTTAATTTGTTGTGAAGTTCAGAAAGAATCCAAGCACGTGAGTGCCCCTCTATAGCAGTGTTTCTCAACCTTGGCAGCTTGAAGATGTGTGGACTTCAACTCCCAGAATTCTCCAGCCACCATGAATTCTGGGAGTTGAAGTCCACACATCTTCCAGTTGCCAAGGTTGAGAAACACTGCTCTATAGTGTAGTAGCCAAGAGACAAGCATGTGAGTGCCCCTCTATAGCAGTGTTTCTCAACCTTGGCAACTGGAAGATGTGTGGACTTCAACTCAAGCATGTGAGTGCCCCTCTATAGCAGTGTTTCTCAACCTTGGCAGCTTGAAGATGTGTGGACTTCAACTCCCAGAATTCCTCAGTCAGCATGGTGGCTGGAGAATTCTGGGAGTTGAAGTCCACACATCTTCCAGTTGCCAAGGTTGAGAAACACTGCTCTATAGTGTAGTAGCCAAGAGACTGGGTTTTACACTGAATTTCTCCAATGAAATCCCTGAACTCATGAGGGGCTCTTAGGCCAGCTGTCCCTACTATATAAAATGGGATAATTTTAAATGCTCTTGCACATTTCTTATGAGGACAAGAAACTATACAGAATGCTTTGAAAAATATAAAAAATACAGCTTTAAGCATTAGAGAATGCCTGCACCAATTTATGCGTAGGAAATCAAAGCAAAAAAATAGTGTTGGAATGCACCGTTAGGGAATCATTCTATATCATTAGCATGTTGTCGCCAAGTACTTAAACCTTTCTATTACTACAGGGCTGTATGTGAATTTTTCAGCAATTATTTTATTTTCTACTATTCAATTCTTGAGTAATATTACATTAAATTTACAAGCAGAAAGACTTGAAAGCTTTACCTCTCCAGGAGGAATTCCAACACAGATCCTATCCACAGCAGGTTTTCGTTTCATTCTGTATATCTGGAAACAGTAACAGAAATTGGTCTGTAGATGACAACTCCTCAGGTTTACAAATTATACCATTTGCCTCTCTTTTCTTTCCAGGCAAGGCTTTCCAGATTTTCATCCTCCTTTTTATTAGTTATCTCCATTTATATTAGCTACAAGCCTCTTCAGGAAAACCACTCGCAAGTCAACATGTGAGCAGCTGTGTTCTGCCTTTTTATATCCAGTGAAACCCTGAAAGGGTAGCATCAGTCTACCCATTTAATGACCTATAGTTACTCCCTCATTGGATAAATTTTGAATTTGCAAGTTCAGGTGACAACCAGCCATCAGGGACAGCAGGTTTCAGAATCAAGCCCTTGATAAGATGTATGAATGTGCAAAGAGAAACGTCATTTTCTCACATACGCAACTTAGCATAAGAATGGGGTGCTTCTCTCACCTTGGTTAATTCTTTGATTTCTAAGATGTCGCTCTGCCCACCACCACCGATGATCCTCTGCCTTTCTCTAATCACATCCTCATCCTCTTCATTCACCGGTGGAAGCTTTGCATAGATAGGCCTTTGGAAAACAGGGTGAAAAAAAGGAACATACTACATTAAAACTGATTCCAGCACTGAAACTTCAAATTGTGCCAAATAACAGATGTGCTACTGGAGTCCATATCACATGTGGAACATTTAGTTGATCCTCATTCCAAATTTACAAAGGTTAAAAGTCACATTAAAGGCAAGCCCAAGGCACAGCCTAGAAATTAACATTCCACCTTACATTTTAAAGTGAACTCCCAAGATGCTTTCATCGTTCATCTAAAAATCTAACGGTGGCAAACATCAGTACCACAGAAAAACCATCTATGACAGATACTGTAATAGCAGAATGCTTCCCAATTAAATCAGGCTTGGCAAATCTAGGTTTGCTTCCATGAAGTATATGAAATAGCTGATTGATCAGGGGTGCCAAGGACTGCATTGGCTAACTGAGATATTTGAAATTGAAAAGTTGGTTTTGGTATGTAAAAATAGGCAAAGGAAGAGTAGAATGAAAAAAAATATGAACAAGGTGGATGGGGCGAGGGAGGAGGCAAAAAAAAAAAGAAGTAATAGTAAAAGTTCTAAGGAGCATTACTGAGACCAGATCTGTAGTAAATTCTAAACTAAACTTGAGTTATTAGGTAGTATAAAAAATGAAGGTTAAGTTTTTGATCTTAACACTGATCCCCCATTTCTCCTCTTCTCACCCTTTCAGAGGGGACATTTATTTTGTTCTTCTATAATGTAGCACAGGCATTACAGGTAGTCCTCAAGTTACAACAGCAATTGGGACTAGAATTTCCGTTGCTAAGCAATGCAGTTGTAAAGTGCAATGTCACGTGACCGCATTGCTTAGTGACAGCAATGCTGGCAGCCCCAATTGCCATTGTAACCCCAGGACAGTGTGGGTTGTTAAGCAAGGACCTCACGTGACCGCGATGTGAGAAGAGGTAGAAGTCCCAGGCAAGCAGGCCAGTGGGCGGGTGAGAGCTGTGGGCAACAGGCACTACGGAGTGTAGGGGGGTGGGCAGGTGCTGCAGATGGGCACTACGGAGGGTGGTGGATGCCACAGATGGGTGAAGAAGCAGCAGGAGTGATTTGTGACCTCCTGCTGGTTTCCCCATTGACTTTGCTTGTGGGAAGCTGTCAGGGAAGTTTGCAAATGGCAATCACGTGACTGCCAGATGTCACAACCATCATAATTGTGAAGTGGTTGCCAAGCACCCAAATTGTAATCATATGACTGTGGGGATGCTGCAACAGCTTTAAATTTGAGGAGCAGTTGTGTAAGTCCCCCTCATTTAGTGCTGTCATAACTTTGAATGGTCACTGAACAAGTGGTCATAACCCAAGGACTACCTGTAGTAAGATACTGTCCTCTATAGGTTTGGGACTAAAACTTTTTATAATTCCTTACCTTTGATTCTGTGGGCTAGAAATGAACAAGAGTTGAACCCCCCCACTCCAAAATACCTGGAAGGCACTAGATCAGTGTTTCTCAGTGTTGGCAAATTCAAGATGTCTGGACTTCAACTTCCAGAATTATCCAGCCAGCATACATCTTAAAAGTTGCTAAGGTTGAGAAACACTGCACTAGATTGTCCATTCCTGATTTAGGTCCTCATGCCTCAGCCTAGCCTCACATGCACTCTTCTCATGCAAGAGACTGATTACCATTGAGGATTTCTTACCTGGACTTGATAAAGAACCGATACTGGATCAGCACCGTGATGAGAAAGAACACAGCCCCTTCTATAGCCATGGCAAAAAGGTTCCGCCCCACTAGGTTCCAGGAGAGAGGGGAGATAAAGCGATCCTCACCTAATCGAACAGAGCAGATAAATTTGTTCAGCCTCCAGAAAGATCCTCAAGAAGCTACTGCTGTATATCTTCACCATTATATGGATGTTTCATATACACCAAATGATATGATAAACTAGTATTGGTTGGGATAGAGAATGCATAATTCTATTCCTCTTCTCATGGCTAGCAAAATTAAGATACACCTTACAAAACCAAAACAGACATTGCAGGAGGAGAAGCATGTTAGCCAATGGTAGTCAAAAATCAGAAAAAGCTTACTAGCACCTCTTCAGACTAACAAAAGACTTCAGGCCATCTCAGAAGGTCTCAACAAACACAACAGCTTTTTAACACATTAGAATGGTTAATTGACGAAGTAGTTGTAATCTGTCTCACATGTAACCTGAATCTACATAACCATCTTATCTTCTTTTCCCTTTTGTTCCCCCCACCCCAAAGAACATCAGATTCGCTACTCCATGCACCTGATGAAGTGAGCGGTAGTTCGCGAAAACCTCTGTATTTTTATAAGATGCGTTAGCCTAAAAGGATGCTACCAGACGCCTTCTGTTTTTGGGCTTACCAAATGGGAAGAACAGCAGAACGTATACACTCCTGATCCAGATGGTGAAATCCTAAACTGTGTGAGCAACATTCCACTTACCAAACCTTTCAAGGGCATCTGCCATTGCTTGGTTTTTCACCATGTCAATCAGGCCACGCCCCAAGCAGAAGTGTGGAAAGATGAGGAACACTGACTTCAGGATGTCATTGATGTTGTTCAATTTCTAAAGAACGTAAGAGCCAAAGGGATCAGTCAAGGGCAGCTGATCTACAAGTCTGCAAGTATCCAGCAAGAATTAAACATGCAATTGTTGCTCTGATTAAGACTTAAATGATTTAAATCACAGCCCTTTGACTTTGGCTTAAAATGTAAAAAAATTTAGGGCAAAAGGATGAATCTGCACTTTCTTCCATGGGCTCTGTCCAATTGTATCTCTGTGTTGTAAGAGTAAGCTTTGGATTATTTAAAACAAGAGTTCTTCAAATTCAAAGTAGAATCTGCTTGTGTGGGTCTGATAAGCTCCTCCCCACTGTAACTGTACATTTTCAAAAAGAAAGGTGTCTTTCTAAATAAATCAGCCATCTGGATAAAGAGGAACAAGTGGTGGTCCTCTTCTGCTTTTAAAAATTAGAAATGACAGGCTGGCTTGGGACAGGATGGGCAAGTCTGACAGTGGAGCCAGGATGCATTTATTGTGACTCTGTGCCATTTCAATGGCGAAGCTGACATAATTCCAGGCTCACAGTTCAAACGTAAGCTCCATTTTTATAGCACATCCTATATTCACTCAAAATTACAGATTTCAGATGATGGTCTATAGGATGCTCCTTCTAGTAGACAGGATAATTCAACTCTTCCCTGATGCTCCTTAAATACTTAAGAATGCACTCAAGAGGATGTTGAGGAGGACAGCTATTGAGGGAGATGCCAATTTCCTCCCTCCTTTTTCTGTTGCAGAAGACTTCTCCTGGCCTTCAATTAGCTAGATTTCTCCTGTTTATGAATTAGGATCCAAGCAATGTCTGCATCTTCTAATGCCCATCTCAACTGTACTATGTTCTACCTCTTTTTCCAATGGTACAAATGTGCATATCTCCCATAAATTCAGATTCCCCCCTTTAAATTATATATTTAGAAAAGACTGTACAACTGGAAGAAGTCCTAAGAGTGGTAACACAAATATGCCTTACTTTCCACATTCAGCTGACCCCAACTCACAACAGAATCAATTCTGCATAAAACCCAAATGCCACTGTTGGTTTGCTCAGTGAGAACTCACATCGCTGGTGAACAGTTCAAGGACGAAAGTGATCACACTCGCATTGATGCCAATGAAGAGATTTATGCTGGTCAGCACCACATATGCTGTGCTAGGAATCTTGAATATAAAAGATGCTGGGTACATGAGAGGAGTTATGGACCACCTGACAAAGAAAATGGAAGGGGCATTGAGGTCTCTTCTCCCCATAACATGAGTGGTTGCCCATACCAGAACCAAAAGAGCCTTCCTTACCCGTAGAGCAAAAGTAGAAGTGCCAGCACTGGGAGATTGGTTGAGGAGACATAGGATTTCTGCTGGAAGCAGATAAAGATGATAATGACCAAAGTTGCTGGAACAACGTAGTTGCACTGTAGGTTTCAAAGAAAAGAAGAAAAAAGGAGAAACAGAAGAGTTCTAGATTAAAGGGTGCAAATGAATATCACATTTAAATTATATAGGAAATCATCATAGCAAGCATTTAAAAACTAGATCTTCTCAAGCTAACTACAATGAGACAAAGGTGGTACAAACGGACTCTTATTATAACAGGGCTAGATGGAACGACAGAAAAGGAGAACGGATGCCTGCTAAACTTCATGATACAAAGTGCTCAGTTTGCACATCTGTGATTCCTTTTTCTTTTCTTTTGGTTAGGTCAGACCCTAATCTCCACAAAGTCGTCGTCTTGTTATTAATGCAGTATATTTCAATTTTCAGATTCAAAGCATTCTACTTGCCATCTCTGCAACTGTTACATCAAGTCTGAATGTTATTGCACACACAGGGCTGGGACATGGCTGAAATTGTATTTAAACTGAAATTCATCTGTGTTACTTAGTCTCATCTGGAAATAAACTGAGTGCTATGGCACCACTATGTTCTTTATGGATATTGCAATGTATCCTTGGAAATACAATGTAGAGGCAAGCTTCTGCTATTTAGAGAACGTGTACTCCTGCACTATCACCTACTACTTCTGGTCAGGTTCTATATTATTGTTTGACAAGCCAGAGTATGATACAAAGTTCTGCATGGCAGCTGCATTGTTTCAGACTATGATCAAAGGGACGGAAACCAAAAAGTCAAACAGATGCAGCCTTACCATATCCCATACAAAATTGGCCAGCCAGTAGATAACTGGCTTCACACCACATATGAACTGGAGATGCTTGGCTTTGCTGACACGCTCCTGGATTAAGAAAACCACAAAGCTGGCTGGAACAAAGGACATGGCGAAGATGACACAGATGGAGACCAAAACATCCACTGAAGTGGTCATCCTAGTAAAGAGAAAGATTTGAAAGGTGACAAATTGATTTTTGATTTATTCCGCCAGATTCTTAATTAAGAATATCATTAGAAAGAGGATAGTTTTAACCTAAATCTTGGTTTATATTGTTGGAACTACAGGAAGAGAGACTGCAGATTTGATGTTCCTTTGATCACCAGAGATGATCTCCCGTCTCTGTTCCCTTCCCCTCCACCCCTCATGATGTCATTTCAGGACGTACAAGGCAACTTCAGAGAGCTGCTGCTTGGTGAGATTCAGTGGGTGATTATAGACCGTAATGCCATAGTTGCTTGGATTCTCTCCATCTTGCAGGTTGGCCCTGAGAATGGCATTGTTGATCACATTGAGAAAAGCGCCAATAGCATGCCAGCCTTTGTTGTTAAACCACACCTGAAAAGGAAATGTCTGGCATTAACTGGGAGAACATTAGTCATTTGGTAGGAGATCTGATTTGAGGATCAAATCATAGGCTCCCATTGGCTTTCTTTGGACCTGGAAATTTCTTTTATCAAGTAATCCTAAAAGCAATGTAACAACTAGGCTATACAAATAATAACGATGGCTAGTTTTCATCAATCCCCTGCTCTAAGCATACTTACCAAGCATAGAAGGAAGCCCCAATCTGTCTCACTTCCTAGCAATTCTGATCAGAATCAGAGTCTGAAGTTTACTTCTTTGCCATTGCCTCCCTCCAAAATTTCTCTGTTGTGCAAACCATTTTACCTCTGATAGGAAGCTTTTCCCCCCAGAATTTCCAGTGAATTGGAGAGGGAGGGTTGAGGAGGAATAATCTATCCCTGCTTAGGATGCTTTTGAAATTTTGGAGATTAGTCTCAAGAAGACCTTGGAAGAGTAGAATTCATTCCAGCTGCTAGGGAATTTTAATGTAATCCTTGAAAGGGGGTTCCTATCTTGTCTCTTTCCTTCCCTAGTCAGTTACCTTTTCTCCCTTCCTCTTTCCATCCAGTTTTCCTCTCCATTTCTTCTTTTCCAAACCAGGTTTAGCTACATGTTACTCTTACCCAGTGGTGTGCTAGAGATGGCTCGTACTGGCTCACAAGAGCCAAATGTTAAATTTTGGGGAATTTTGCAAGCCAGCTGAGAACAGAGCTGGGCTTCAATGCCTAGCATACCTATCAGCTGTTCGGTGGTGGTGGTAATGGAGCAGCAAAGCTGCTTCTTAAACATTTCACAGCACACCCCTGCCCTTACGCTATCTCCACTCTGCTTTTGTTTTCTTCTCCTTTTCTGCTTTTTCTAAGGGAGGGGGAAAGGGAGAAAGTATGTTGGTCTAGGTGTGTACTTGTGTGTTTCAGTGTGAGACAGTGGTTTGCATGTGAGAGACTGCAGATACATACAGTTATATGCAGAAGGGGGAGTTGATTTTAATTAATATTTATAACATACTATTTTTTGTCTTGGGCATGCTTTTTTTGGCTTCTGGCAGATAAAGATACACACATACCCAAATGTATACTGATACGAAAAATGTCATGCAAGGATATTTCTGGCAGGGGGTAAAATCTTCAGGATTGGTTTCAGATGGAGTTGGCAATTCTAGGTTGACAAGGTGGGGAAGCTGGGCATTGGAGTTAACTGTTTATAATTCATCTATTTTATATATATTATTTCTAAATTTTGCTGGAAGGCTTATCTTCAGTTCAGGCCTGATGGGACCAGCAGAATTATTTGAGTGACATAGAAGATTGCTCTTTATAACTTAGTATGAATCATAGAGCTGGCTTGTCTTTTCCCAGTCAAGAGTCATATCCAGATCAGTAACTCCTGCAGGAACATGCAGGTAGTCCTCACTTAACAATGTAATTGGGACTGGCAACTCCGTCACTAAGCAACATGGTCGTAAAGCATGATGTCATATGACTGCACCCACTTAGGACGGCAGTTGTGGCAGTCCCACTTGTCATTGTTAGGCAAATCCCGCATGGTCGCAGTGTCCCATGGTCACATATCACCATTTGTGACCTCTTGCTGGTTTCTACATTGATTTTGCTTGTTAGAAGCTGGCAGTGAAGGTCACAAATGGTGATCACATGACTGCAGAACAGTGCAATGTCATAATTGCAAGCTAGTTGCCAAGAGCCTGAGTCGTGATCACATGACCACGGGGCTGCTGCAAAAGCTGCAACTACGAGGAATGGTCATAAGTCCTTCTTGTTCAGTGCCAGTGTAACTTTGAACAGTAGCTGAACGAGTGGTCACTGAACGAGGACTACCTGTAATGGGCTTTTCTGAAATTAAATATTAAATTACAACAGTAAACCATGTGGATGTTACAATGAAGTTTGCCTCTATTTTTTTTAGATTTTTTTTATCTTGCTTTTATTATTTTTATAAATAATTCAAGGCAGTGAACATACCTAATACTCCTTCCTCCTATTTTAATTTTAAATTTAATTCAGTTAAAACTTATTTAGATTTAATTTAATTAAAATTTAATTTTAAAATTAATTTCTAGAATTTTAATTCCAGAAAAAATGTTCTAAAATTGGGGAAACATTGTGTGGTGGTTCAAGATGTCTAAGCAATATAGCCTGCTCCTGAAACAAAGCAGCCAAGTGGGATTATTACCTTGACATTATCACTTGTATCCAGGCCTTTCATGAAGTTCTGGAGGCTGTTTAGAAAGCGTTCAGCAGCACCCCCCTAAAAATAAATTAAAAAATGAAAATCCAATTAAAAAAATAAACTCCACTAACCTCAAGGATACTTCTTAGTAATCATATCAGGGAAGGTGCTGTCAATTACTTGGCTGTGTGTTTATTTTCTGCTGTGGCCCCAAACATATGTTGGACATATGGATTCCCAAAGGAGTAGAAATTCCAAGCGATATCCTGGAGGAACCTTTTACTCTAACAGGGACATTTCTTAGCTATTTACCTTGGTAATTTCCAAGATTTTCTTCACTTGTCTGATGGCGTCGTTGACTTCTTCATGTCGAGGAAGCACAATAGACCCACTGGCTCCCAATGAAAAGCCACCATATCTATGAATAGATGAAAGCAACTGTTGAAGAACAGCTTCTTTTTGTAAATGTTTCCTACAAAATAACTTTGTATTTTTTGGTAAGTGTTAAGATCTATAGCTTTCTAAAGCAAAACAATAAAATATGCTTAAACCTTCAGCAAAGGTGCATGTGCTTGTTTATATGTAATGCAGAGTGGGAACCCTGATTAGTGATAGATCTCCATCACACATGCATGCAAGGAAGAACAGCCGCACAGATATTTCTTACAGCTACCACGCTGTTCTCCTTCATCAGAATGAGATCCATATAGAACAAATGGTGGGCTATGAAATTACACTTCAGCATCATTCATTTATTGGTATCACTCTCTCCACTTTGGAATGTCCAACCTAGCAAGTTACAGTATAGCCGGTTACTGTATTATAACTGTTGGTTATAAGTGGCTTCTTTAACGGATTCACACATTTAGTTTTTTTAAATTTTGTACTCTCAACCTTGCCTGAGCAATAATGTCTCTTACCCATCTACATACAATCAATAGCTTTTATGTAAATGTATTAAAGTAAACTAAATGATAAGGTAACAGGTTTGGGCTTGGCACAGTGTAGGACCCCAAGCATTGTTGTTTGTAAGCTATGGTTTATACCTCAGAATTACATATGAGCCTGGACATTATGATTCATCCAGTTGGTTATGGATAAAATAAAACATATGTAACTGCAGTGTGTAAACATAGTCATTTCATGCATTCTAGTGAGTCACCATCATCTCTCTGAGCATAGCTACATTATTTGTTGAATAATGTTTGGGCAAGGAATGACCTAAAAATAAAACCAAGCTGGAAAAATGCCATAAAAAGTAACTGCAGACATAAGTAAAGTTCTTGAGAGCAGATGACCCACACAAAAGGGGGGAAAAAAGTGTATTTACCTGAACTCATTAACCCAATGCTTATACTTCAAGCTGTGGATGTAAAAAACAAAGAAAAGGTAATTATGTTAGGTCTAAGTCAACCAGCTCTAATACTCATATCACAGTGACAAACGCATTTGATTAAAAAACGTTTTCAATGGAAAGGGGACTGGGCAGATTCTCCTTGCACACCGATGCAGAATAGCATATAATGTATCCCTTAGAATAAATCCTTTAATAGTTATTCTCTCTCACAGGGAATAGTGAGAACTGTTACTTGAAAGGGCAGGCAGGAAAAGATAAAACATACTTAGCATATAGCCATAATGCTTTGGAAATGGAGTGATTGTCAGGCTGGCCTAAAACAAAGCTTCATTATATAAAAATAGGATCTAAGTCTCTCATCCATAGCACCCTGGGCTATCTAAAAAAGTCAGTTCAACTGAGTTTTGATCATTGTTACTTTCTGAGATCCAGTTCAGCAGAAGCACATCAAGCGATACCATAAAACAAGCTTTGAAAAGTACCAAGATGGCTTTGAAAGAATCTAAAGGAAGGGTGCAAAACATACTACGAAGGAAAATTTGTGAAATCACTTCATCAGTTTCCAGGAGAGAAAATGCCACCATAGAAAAAGTTGAACTGAGGACACATGCTATGTGACAGACTGATATTCCCTGTGTTGAACTTGATTGCATTAGGAGGGAGTCATATCACAGGTCCTCCTACACCATGAAGGCCAGAATGCTTGAAGCTATTGTTAGAATAAATATTGATCTTAAAAAAAAAAAAAAGAATTGGCCTCAGCATCTTAAAGCTATAAGGGTCAGCCTACAAGCCACATATGGCCTCACCACTACCTGAGCTGCCCACCATGGCTGCTGTCATTCCCCACTACTTGGCAGCCTGGTAAGCATCAAACCAGCAAGTTGTCTAGAAGAACTATCACATTCTTGGTGTTCCTTTTCTTGGCAGGAAAAGAAATACTCTGCACACAACCTATCAATCAGCTGATTGCTTGAATACAGGAAGCCTGCACTACTGCACTTGGGAATCTTAATGAAGCTAGGCCACATGAAGTGGGGCAAGGGTTTATTAGAGTACGTGCATATGCTTGTGCCTGCTCACATGCATATGCAGCTGCACTGCCACATATTCTTGCAGCCACTGAGACCAAAGGGTATCCACGGGCACTAATTCTACTCTTGTACTTAACTGACAAACATCAAACCAAACCAAATTTCACTTAAACAGCAATCACAATGATAGAAGCGAATATGTGTCACTCAGGGTTGAACTGTGGAGTCCTTGGAGTTCTCTGAGCTTGGTTGTTTTCTTGCAAACGTTTCATTACAAGATGAAGATGTTACCTAGCCAGGTAATGAAACGTCTGCAAGAAAACAACCAAGCTCAGAGAACT